AGAGGATACGAGATATGCTTTAAGCCATCATTACCTCTTAGAGCTTATATAAATGAATAGTTACAATTTCAGTAAGACATGAATTAGATGTGACGATTAATTATTTTAAGGCAATGGACTATTATTCCCCAATTGAAATAAATGTGAAACTAGGAAAATTCATCCCACAATAAGCACAATTGGAAAGTTTGGTTGCGAAATAATAAAACTTGTGAAGAATATCGTCGTTAGCAGTTGGTGACTTTTTTGGGTATTACTTGGCGAAAAGATAGGTTGGGGCAAGCGTATTGAAAAAAATTATGAAAAAAGTAGGGGCTGGGAATAGCTGTTATGAAAAGAGTCAAGCCCTTTAATCCCTTTCATACTATGCAAATGATTTATAATGCTCTGATACAGCCATATTTTGATTACTGCTCGCTTTTATGAGGAAACAGCTATGGAGCTTTAAAAGACAAGCTTCAAAATGCGCGCTAGGATAATTGCCGGGGAAAATTATGAAGCCGATTCGGCTGACGTTCTTGCATAGGTAATTTCTGAATTGGCAGTTTTGAAAAGCATTTTCTCATTCATTAATGCGAGTCTTTCTAATATTTATAATGAATTATCCTTGAACAAGAACTCCGAAAGTGGAGAAGCTCTAATAGACATTCTCTTTTTACAAGAACATGGCAAAATCACAACTCAAATTGACCTTGATAATTAGCTACCGTCACGCAATGCGCGCTTGAAAACTAAAAGGGGAGTTAAAAGTTCACAAGAATCATTCTGGAATCACAGCATGTGACAATCTTTACTAAGTGTACCGTTGATTTACTTAAGAGTACCGTTGATTGTGCTACATCATGGCTCTTTTCTTATTATATGTTTCCGTTTGTGAAAATAGCGTTTTATATAGTAATGCTGATCCACTATGCGCTGCTGTATCCGGCACAGAGAGGATACGAGCTATGCTTTAAGCCATCATCACTTCTTACAGCTCAGTTTTATAAATGAATAGTTACAATTTCGGTAAGACATGAATTAGATGTGGCGATTAATATTTGAAACGAATGGACTATTCCGCAATTGAAATAAATGTAAACTGACTAGAAAAATTCATCAGTGCAGCTGAAAGAACATCCCACAATAGGCAAAATTGGAAAGTTTAATTTTTTCGATATTCAGTTGACGAAAAGAGGAGTTGGGGGAAGCATATTGAAAACATTTGTAAAAAAAAGTAGGGGCTGGGAATAGCTGCATGTTATGAAAAGAGTCAAGCCCTTTATTCCTTTCATACTATGCAAATGATTTATAATGCTCTGATACAGCCATATTTTGATTACTGCTGTCCTTTATGGGGAAACAGTTATGGAGCTTTAAAAGACGTCAAGCTTCAAAAGTGTCAAAATCGCGCGGCTAGGATAATTGCCGGGAAAATTATGAAGTAAATTCGGCTGACGTTCTTGCATCTCTCGGGTGGTTAACTTTAGAGGAAAGACGAATATGTAATCAATCCATATTAATGTATAGAATCAAGTTAAATAATTTGTCCGCGCCGAACCTGAAAAATCTGAAAAGAATGGACTTCACAATTTTATGTCGTTCTACATCCAGTATAAAGCAGTATATTGTATCTCTAATGTAATGCTTGGCAATTTTATTCTGCATACTTTTTACTGTGTGCGTGTGCTTTAAAAACGCAAGTTCAAAGAAGACAACAATTGTTCAAACCTCGACCCCTGTTGCGAGTAATTAATAAACGTTTATCTCGGCCTCTGGATACGAATTCGTTGCCATTCACCCCTTCGCTTGGAATTTGCCTGTGTGAATAACTAAAGAGGACGTGTAAAGCATTTTCCTGAAGTTGTGTGTGAATTGAGAAAGAAAAATAAGAGAGAAAGATATATATTGTTATCGCAGAATTATTCTAAAATCACAGCATGTGACTTTTTTGACTCCGCATATTTTTGTGTGGTCAGAGATGACTTCGATGATGCGTTATATATATTTATATAATAAAAGCCGTCTATATAGTTATTGTGCAGCATGTCCAAGTGCGTTTTTCAAATTCTATTAGAGAATGTAGCAATGTTTCCTGTATTTGTTTTCCAATCAAGGTTTGTATTGTTTTTAACAAATTAACTTAAGTTAAGAGTACCGTTGATTGTGCTACATCATGGCCTTTTTGCGTATTATGTTTCCATTTGTGTAAATAGCGTTTTATGCAGTAATGCTCATTCACTAGGCTCTGCTGATAACAAGGCAAATGCCAGCTTTGCTTTGATTCGGGCATCACGACTTAGCGCTTAACAGCTCAAAAGTGGACTAGGAAAATGGTTAGCAAAAGATCGAAAGAGTATAATTATTTAGGGCAAGCCTCGCCTCCCGCAAACCGAGTTTCGGCTATTAATGATTTTATAATGAACAAGATGCCCGCGTTCTGGCGTTAACTCCGGTGTGCCGTGCACGTGCCAGTTTTAATATAAAGCTTCTGAACATAAAAAATACAGTTCATACTCATTTTGATGCCTTGCGAACCTAAATGTTGTTCCATCGCGAAATTCAGAAGCACATCGTACTTTAAAAAGTATAGAAGTTCAATTGTTCAAAAATGTAAATAAACCGCATGATACCTTCACTTTGTCTTACACTTTGCCTTTTTAAATCTTCAATCCTGTGCAAAATGTGACGTGTCGACGCGCCCATACACGATCAAATATATTCTTACCCCAATTCAATCTAAACTTAATTCAACAGCATTAAAAGAACGGTTTACTTGTTCATCTTGAAGAAATTGGGTCAAATTGCCGTATCATGCGAGCGAAATCAAATCGCGCGTCGGAAAATTAACAAAAGCTGTGCACCGACAACTCTTTGGAGACAAAATTGTGACGTAGATAAATACGGTCACATATACTTTTCAAATACAAGTATATTTCGCGAATCAATCAATCAATAAAACTTTATTTAACCACGCTACCCTCATCATCTGTCGATGGTTTTCGTGAGGGGCGTCACACAATTACATGCAATAGATTAACTGAGAAACATATGTACAAGTATATAAAAAATAGTATTATAATATAAACGAATAAATATGTAAGTATTAAAGAAGATAAAAACTAGGAATAATCGATGTCTGACTCAGTAGTTACATTATTTTATCATATTTTAAAGATACCTAAAGATTTTTTTTCTTTGCTTGCTTTGGTAGACTATTCCATAACGCAGCCCCACTGTAACCAAATCTCTGTTTTATAAATATTCAGTTTTTGGTTTAGCAAGTGAGAGATTTATGTCGCAATTTCTAAGATTATAATTCCTCATTTTTGTCTCCCTGGTAATAAATTTATGTTTTAAGCTAGGGGGTGAGTGGTTGTTTAGTATTTTAAACATTAATGAAAACAGATTTATTCATTTTATGTCTATCATTCAGATTCTTCCACGACATATTATATAGCATGAAGCAAATCCATCGATCTATAACATCGTAGTTGGCCCCGGTCATAATTCTTGCCGCCCTATTTTGTAGTTTTTGCAATTTTTCAATGAGTAAGCTTCCATAATTATCCCATGCATAAAGGAGAGCAATAACCAAAATATGGGAGCACGAGAGAATTATACAAATTTTGTAAAGTTTCGTACGGTACAAATTGTTTTACTCTTTTAATAATTCCAATGCCGGAGACAACTTTAATTTCTGCATGTTGCATCTATATGCTTATTCCAGCTCATTTTTCGTCTAGTTCTACTCCCAAACAACGAAAAAGAGGAGTAGCAAGTAACAAGTTTATCATTAATCGTTACTTGATTATTCCCAACTTTGTGTTTCAAATTATAAGAAGATCCTATAAACATTGCTTTTGTCTTTTTTGTATGAAGCTGTAATTTGTTTTGGGAGAGCCATTTCACTATATTTTCTAGATCCTGATTAACTCGCATTGCGCAATGCGCAAGCGAGTTCTTAAAATGGGAATCGTTCTTATTAATATTTTTATGGTCGAGAATTTCGCGGGTGTTCTGTTGCTCTCATGCTTTTCAACTTCATGTTGAACCAAAGTTGCTTAATATCGCTATGAATTCTCTGATCAAACTGAGTGCAATCTCAAATCAATCTCACGAGTTCTCACTAGTACTATCAATTGAAAACGATACAACGACGTTGTCAATGAACTGTGCCATGACGTGCTACGAATATCTGAACAAGACTAACTCCACTGTGCAACAAGACTAACTTCACAGTGCAATTAAATTTATCCAATGCTCTCCCCATTTTCACGCCCGTTACGTTCCGTTGCATAGCTGAACAACTATGGCAAGCCTAAACACACGCCTGAGTAAGCGTCTTTTTTGTCATAGCCCTAGCTCGACTCAAGCAATGCGAGTTTAATGCCTAGCAGGCATCTTGTTAAGTTTTGTTATTAGTTCTAAGAAACTTGAAGAAGACGCATATATTTGCGTGTCATCGGCATACATGCCAGGAGTTGAGGTTTTAAACATGCTGGCAAATCATTTTTTTTAAATGTATCCATTCGCCTGATGATCGCCTTGAGCGTGAAACACCGTGTAGCGATGACAATATTTTTTAGAATAATTAAACATTTATTTATTTAATTATATTGCTCTATTTATTGATATTGAGCACTCTTTGTTCAAGTACGGACAATATTATTATTATTATATATAATAATAATATATATATACACTGGCGGTCAAAAAGAACTGCTCAAAACCAGTTAGAATGCTCTCAAATGAACGTAACTGTCCCTCTAACAATATTCATGCAATATAATGCATGTATTTTGCAATACAAAATTCATGAGGGGCGAGGTGATATCAGTTTTATCGCTTGAGGGACGATATCATAGGGATGATATCGTCCTGAATTTATGGGCCATTAATTGCAACCGCCTTTTCCTGTACCTCTCTCAGAAACAGAAACGGCGGAGACCCACCAGCCAGAGTTGTTTTTGCGCCTTTAATTTCATGCATGTTTTCTTCATTTCAGCCCATTTTTTGCAATGGAAGGTACTTTTCAAGGTGGTGTCGCTTTCGGTTTCGGACCTCATAGTGGGAACTTTTCATTCATAATCACCACTGACAATATAGAGGTGGCTAGAGAATTATGTGAACTCGGTGGATACATTGGATTGGGCGTTGGAGTGACTACACTAGGAGTTCTGTTGAGCTATAGGTTGTTAAGACCTTTAATCCAGGATGTTGTTAACGTAGTCTTTGGTTATAATCGAGAAGACCAAGATAATCCGAATGCTGAAGCAGGATCACTACGTGTTAAACTGCGTTGTTTAACAGAAAAGAGATTTCTTGAAATTTTACAAGATTATGAATCCGGAGGAATAAAACAACGTTTGGAAAACGAATTTTCTCAGGTTAAGATCAAAGTTGAAGGTTTGAAGGTTGAGATTAAAAACATGGAAGAAGTAGAAAAAACAAGAGCCGCTATAGTCGAGAGGTAGCTATGTGGAATATATTTTTACCATGAAGCGTTTTCATAGGCTCTTTAATCGCATATCTAAAATTAACAGCACGTGCATTCCCATATGTGGGCATAGGTGCCTATACAACTGCTATTTAATGGAGTTTATTGAATCTTATGAAGAAATATTCCGGTTTTGGTTTAGGAAGTGAGAGATTTATGTCGCCATTTCTAAGAATATAATTCCTCATATTTGTCTCCCTGGTAATGAATTTATGTTTTAAGTTTGGGGGATGAGAGGTTGTTTAGTATTTTAATCATAAAAACAGATTTATTCATTTTATGTCTATCATTCAGATTCTTCCACAACATAGCATGAAGCAAATCTGTTGATCTTACCTTCGTAGGTGGTCCCTTCATAATTCTTGCCGCCCTATTTTGTAGTTTTTGCAATTTTTCAATGAGTAAGCTTCCACAATTATCCCATAAAGGAGAGCAATAATCAAAATATGGGAGCACGAGAGAATTATACAAATTTTGTAAAGTTTCGTACGGTACAAATTGTTTTACTCTTTTAATAATTCCAATGCCGGAGGCAACTTTTTTGCATGTAGCATCTATATGCTTATTCCAGCTCATTTTTCGTCTAGTTCTACTCTCAAAAAGCGAAAAGAGGAGTAGCGAGTAACAGGTTTATCATTAATCATTACTATTACATTGATCATTCCCAACTTTGTGTTTCAAGTTATAAGAAGATCCTATAAACGTCGCAGATAGATAGATAGACAGATAGCTACTGAAAATTCTAGCTTCTAATTATAGAATTGCATATGTTGTGTAATATGACAATTAACGCGACTTAATCGGGGGGAAGCCTTACTAAGAACTCTTGAACCGCTTATTTATTTAAACAAAATGTAATCCCATGCAAATGTAATCATATGTAATTCTAATTAGATTTCGAGTATCTATCTATCAATCTGCGGCCAACGCATCAACAAACTAATAGCTCGCGTGATTTAACTTAAAGTGGCAACTAATTGAAAGAATTTTATTTATAATTGTCATTTTGATGGCAGTTTATGATTAATGGCTTATGCCATCCCCACAACCACCGTGGTATATGTTTGACCAAAGTTCTTACACCTGCATTGAGGGATGTCCTTGCAACTGAAATAACAAAATGAAATAATGATTTGTGTCGACCACCGACTGATATCGACACACAAGTGCAATTTGTGTAGTTACTGATCCTGTTTGAGACAACGTTGTTAACTTCAATTATGATGTATTTGATTCTATAGTGCCATCTCAACCACCGTAATAACGGACGAGGAAAGAAGATGGGTTGTTATTGGTGTGTGTTTGACCAAAGTTCTCCCACCTGCGTTGAGAAATGTCCTGGCAACCGAAATACCAAAATGGCATCATGTTCTATGTCAACCACCGACTGAGATTGACAAACAGGTGTATCACCGACATAAAAAACAGTTGAATCCATCAACTATAAAACTCAACTATAAGAACATTAACAACAATAATGTTCATAAATCACCATGGTTATATGATTATGCAGTTAGAGACCCATTGTCTTTAGCAAAGTTGTTTGTTCAGCCATTAATGTCTAAGTTTACTGGCTTTGACCAAACAATGGATATTTCTGCAATCTTATCATTGATTTGCGAAGCTGCTCCATTTACAGCAGCTGCTGCTGATGCAAAGACAGTCCGGTCTGACATCAGAAACGAGTGGGCACATTGCAACTTTGCAAACTGGACTGAGGCAAAATTTAATGATGCTTTTCTTTGTATGGAAACTTTGCTGAAGAATGTGAATCTCTCACTTGAAAAGGAACAACAAATATGTGATGATCTGAATAGTTGGAAAGATAAAGGTAAAGTGTTAAGCATAAAGGAAATCAAATTTTTCTTCTATTGCGTCCTCGGGTATTACGTATTTAGTGAATCAATAGCAATTTCCTGGCAATTCAGCACGTTGTTCTGGTTAGCTCGTGCAAGAAAGCATTTCTATGAAAATCTAAATATTTTCTGACGTCTTTTGTCAAAATTAATGATTATGATCAGTCAGGTCGTTTTATATAGCATGTAAAGTCAAACTGCATGGGATATAACTTTCTCTTGAAAGTTTTCATACAAAATAATGATCGACATTTTTCTCAGAGTTGCAGTTGTGTTTCCGTAGTCAACCTTTCGACATCCACACCTCGAGTTTACTCAAAGAGCTTGTTGATGAACTTCGTTTATCTGTGCAGACATTGAATTTAGAAGAAAACCAGGTTTGAAAATTACAATTTGCTGACTTGTATACTTGATCGATTGTGTCATCCCATACATATACTAGGAACAATTTAGACCACTTCGTTGTTCATTTAGACTTACTAAAATTTAGTTGTTCTTATAATTCATCCTAATTTATAGCAGAAGTAAAGTAGTTTAGTTGACGTAAATTATTTGCTGTATTACAGCTATTTACAGTACTTTTGAAAATTGACGACCTGCGTCGTCATGTCGAAATAATTGGAACACAAATTGAAAGATATCTTACCGAAAGGGAGCTGCCTTATGTCTTCAGTGCACCGGCACGAAATCTTTATTTTGCTGGTCGGATTAAAGAAATCGAAGAGCTTAAACGTATTTTGAAAGTTGGAGAAACATCGAACGAAAAGAAAGTCCGTGTCGCAGCAGTATGTGGATTGGGTGGAATTGGTAAAACAAGCCTTGTCACCGAGTATGCTCATCAGATGAAGGATTTCTACAAAGGAGGGGTTTATTGGTTCTCTGCTGAAGATGATACGTTTCTTGACAAGTCGGTGAATTATATTTCGTCAGAAATTGTCTCTGGTAATTCATTCAATTCGAATTTGGCACTTCTCCTAAGAAGGATTAGCACAACCAATGACCCATGTCTTATTGTGCTCGACTGCTTGGATCAACTGGAACTTTCATCCAACATGATGGAATTTCTTTCCTTCCCTTCGCACACAAGTATCTGTGGACACTTTGTCGTGATTACCAGGCGAAATCCAGAGCGACTTCTCAATGAAGTTTCGGTTTTTGACGATCAGTGTTATCTTCGATTAGAATGCTTTCAGCCTCAAGAAGCGACGCAATTTCTTTTTTCCAGATCTGGCATAACTCATGATGAAAAACTTGACAGTGATGCTGAATGTCTTTGTGAGGAGCTGGGAAGATTGCCACTTGCCTTGGAACAAGTCGGAGCTTATATTAATAATAGGCGTAAATGTAGTTTTTCTTCATACCTGAAGCAATATAAAGACGAACGCTTGCGACTGCTTGAACAACAAAAAGGGTGCGCTTTTGCACAAGGTAAAGAGTCACTGGATCGTATCGCTGTCCACACAACATGGCGTATCAACATGGAACATATAAAGAAAAGTTCGAACGGCGAGGAAGCTGTACGGTTTTTGAATGCTTGTGCGTTTTTCAATCGAAACGAGATCGAAGAAGAATTGATCAACGTTGGAAAGCCCGAAGTAGAAAGCGTCTCGTATTGTAGATGTGTGTCATCCCCTTTGGGCAGCCGTCAGATTCTGAAATTATTGACCGACTTTTCACTTTTCAAGTATGTCGACGAACACTCTACGTCCGTCAGTACGCATCGCTTGGTCCAGGAACTGGTCAAAGACAGTCTTGATCCTGAGTCGAAAGCTAAAAGTATCACAGACGCTGTTCGGATGCTTTCTTTTGCATTCGCCAAATGTTCTTCACCCAGTCAATTTGTGAATGAAAATAATCCCGAGGAGCAAAACATCGCCTTTTCAGATTTTCAACAACATTCTTCTCAATTCTACATGTGGTCTAAATTTTGTATGCATGGTCATAATCTGTGCAGAAGCATGGAGGATTTGTTGGAGACGCCTGTTTGTCTAGATCCACTGTGGTTTCCTGAAACAGCCAAGATATTTTACGAATGTGCCGTGCACTTGAGTGCTAATCGTAAACAGAAAGAAGCAAAACGTGCTTTGAACTTTGGATATCGCATATTAGACTGGCTTCCGTTGAAAGAATGTGAAAATGTAAAAAGTGATATTTCCAATAATTCCTTGTTTCCACTTCGCATTCCTTTACCCAAGTCCTTTCAGACAGAGATTAATCGATTTTGCTCACCTCCTTTTGTTGGTCATGCAGCTCTCCCTGAACAAACCGCTACAGCGGATGATGAACTTGATGCTGAGCCGAGATCAAAGAAATCGAAAAAAGATGAGAATTCTTCTACCGTTGATTTAACCTCAAGATTGAAAACTAATTTATCGTCTGAGGATGCGGGTGATAAATTAGCGCGTTTTTCAGATTGTTGGAAAGGTTTTGCTGAAGTAGCTTTGGCACTTAAAGACTCGGAGGAAATTGTCCGGGCTGAAATAGCTGCTGCCTTAGCTTTTTATCACAATCCGCATATATTTTCCGGTGATTCTCTATTCAAAGATACTTTCTTGGGTTTGCAGGATCGTATCTTTATTTGTAATTCTGTTGATGAACTTCGAGAAGCGATTTATTTGGACAAATTACAAGACGATGAGTTAAAGATTTTGCTTCTGGGATCACCGGAGTATATCCTAAGTGTTGCAACATTCGCCGAACCCTGGAACAACTGTGTCCTTATTGGAACAAGAAAAAGATGTTCAGTCTCCTTGGAGTTAGATGGAAGCATTAACGTGTTGAAATGCATGCTGGTAAATCTGTCATTCGTTTTTTATGAAGGTCGATTGAATTGTTTGCCTGAGTCCTTTGTTGAATTATTTGGCTGTAAATTCACTTCTCATGGTGATAACACGGACGCCGTAACAACTCGTGGTGATTTGAATGCAAAACAATGCTGTTTCGAATACAGTAAAGGCTGTGGTCTGTCATGTTTTGAGCAAGGCAGCGTTGTCGTGGCAGACAGTTTCTTGCGTGGCAACGGAAAGCACGGTGTTTTAGTCCAAAGCCAAAACAGGTCAAAATCCTGTGTCGTGAGCAAGTGTGATATTCACCACAATTTGCAAAATGGGATTGACGTCTCTGATGCCAATAATCTCACAAATATCTATAAAAATAATGTTTATTCCAATGGTCATAGTGGAGTACGTATACACCGATGTGATGCCGAAATCAAGGAAAACGACATTTCCGACAACGATACGTGGGGAGTTTTCCAGTCTGGAGGAGATTCAATAGATTGCGATATTTCAGTGAATATTTCAATGAATAGGATTTTTCGCAATAACTGTGGTGGAATTCGCTTGGGATATAAGCAGAAGAAAGGGAAAACGGTTGTAGAGAAGAATGAAATTTATGATAATAACGGTCCTGGATATGTGAACGATGTAAACAATTCTCAATACCAAGATAACAATCTCTCCAATAACGTGGAAAGTGAAAACGTCGGTGAGCTAGATTTTTCCGTTCCGTTTTGTTCAAATTGTCATAAAAGAACAGTCAGAAATCTGAACAGTTGTGGCAAGTGCTTTACAGCTGCGTATTGCAACGAGACTTGTCAGAAGAAACATTTCTCAAAGCATGAGATAATATGCGAAGATTTACGCGAGAAGTCAAGTTATTTGATAACTTCATTGGAACCACCTAAAACCGACACATCAAGGCTTAGAGGACGAGAGTTTGGCCCTCCCCGACAAGATAAAACAAGGTTTATAGTTAAAGTGTTTAATATACTTACGGGAGAAGAAGTGGAGAATACCATTATCCTGAAGTATCCTTCACTTGAACGCCCACTACAATTCAATTCCATCGCCATTACAGAGCTTGTTAGAGAGTTTGGGGTTCTACTCGTACGAAAAAATTCAGAAAAAGATCTTTTTCTTTATTGCATCCACGAGAGTGACGGTCAACTTCGACTAATCACAAATGAATTCGCTGAATGAATTCACAAGGTCATGTGGCAACGTGACTGAAGAAAATTATAAGCTTTACCATTAAGCTACAATCAGGTGCAACAATTATTGAGACAATCACATGAATGTTCCTTCTCCCAACAAGGGGGAATTTCGTTTTAGATCAATCTGCAAAGTTTGTTTGCATTTTTAGTAACCCAATCAGAATGCATAAATTTTGACTAAGAAGGTACATTATCTACCATTTTACATGAAGTATTAAAAATTTAGATATTCTGTTTGAAAATCCATCTTGGTCCTTCTCCCCAAATTCAATGTTGCGAGGATGCGTGAAAAGGGAAAATTCGCATACTTTTTTAACATTGACTCTAGTGGGCAACGGGGGGTTAATGCAATGCAATTTGAATAAAAGTTTGAAAAGTCTCATAATTTTTGCACATGGTTGTAGGTCCCGGTTCCTATAGCTAAATTTTAGGCCCCTCCTGAAAAAATTCGTTTTATAAAAGGTGAATCCTTGTTATGGAGCTTCATACCGTCAGTAATGAAAAAATCTTTAGGTGATCTTGCACAACTAAATTGTCCATCATTCATGCCACAAAAGCCTGCACAAATATTCTGCACGAACTTGCACTTGAGTCGCACTGGCGGCCTGGCCCCACCTAGGGTTTTGCAGCCCCAGTTCCCTAAAATTCTGGTCACGCTTCTCTGCTTCCGCCCCGAAAAATTTGGGGTAACGAAAAGAAACACTAGAATGAACGGGAATTGTTTACTTAACAACTTTCTCACACAGCAATATAGCAATAGCAATACAGCAAGATATAAAATAGTTTGCTTTAACACGCTTCGTAATACTTACTCGCTATATAGGACGATTAGTAACGTTTTTTATAGGTGTATAGATAGATGCATGTATAGAGTTTATGTATAGATTTTATGCACAATAGAGTGATGAAATAAAAAGAATTCTTCACTGATTGAATTAACTTTATTCACGTGTGAAAAATTGCCATACACAACTTTTGTTTGGACGTACGATTTTCATCACATGCGAATATTTGTCGTTTAGCATTGTGGCGGCAATTTGTTTACATTTTTTTTCAAGATGGCGTCGAGATAGTCGAAATACAGAAGTGAGATTCAAGACATAATTCTAAAATTGAAATGTCAAGACATTTTTGGATTCCACATATATTAAAATCTTTCGGAAAGAATATCTAAAAGTGTTTCGATCGTTGTCGACTTGATCTCTAAACAAATTTAATTAATAAACAAATTACTTGATAGTTGGCTCGTTTGTAGGATTTTAGTAATCTCTACGTACGTTAACTTTTACTTTGACGTATTAAAATATAGGCCTTAAGAAACGAGCATATTATACATGTTATTGTCGAAAAGACCACACCGCCTGGGTTGTGTTATTCATTTATTTCAATACCTTTACAGCGCTTTTATACGATAATTTTTTTCTAACCGGGTGCAAACAAAGAGATGAGTTTTGAATTCATTTTATTATGTCGCTTTGCCATAGGAAGCCCAGACAAATGAGTTGAAGTCAATAGAAATCCGTAAAACATTTGAGATATGTGTTAAAATAAATTAAAGATTTATGTGTTATAAATTTTCTACAAAACTACTGTTAGAACCATGTATGTAGCGTGCTCCAGTGGCGCTGCCATTTGACTATGCAACTAGCGACGTAACTTACTATATTATTGGGAAGGATGGAAACTCTCGCCTCAATTTTCAACATGTTGACAAATTAAAACACAAATTACTATAGTAAAACGGCCCGTCGACTGCTAAATGCCTACCGTAGGTTTAAGTTGAATAATCAAACTATACTTTCATAACAAAAATGATGCTGAATTCAAAGGAAAGCGATGGAAAAACGTACACAAATTTTGTAAATTGCCCGAAATTTTCGTGCATTCATGCGGGATGTAATTACCTACCATGCAAAATGGCGGCCGGCAGAAGAATCTGATTGGTTGAGAAAGTAAGCAAAGTATGATCGACCAATCAGATTGGTCGAGAAAGGTAAGCAAAGAATGATCGACCAATCAGATTCTTCTGCCGGCCGCCATTTTTGGTAGGTACTTACATCCCGCATGAATTCACGAAAATATCGGGCAATTTACAAAATTTGTGTACGTTTTTCCAGCGCTTTCCTTTGAATTCAGCATTATTTTTGTTATGAAAGTATAGTTTGATTATTCAACTTAAACCTACGGTAGGCATTTAGCAGTCGACGTGCCGTTTTACTATAGTAATTTGTGTTTTAATTTGTCAACATGTTGAAAATTGAGGCGAGAGTTTCCATCCTTCCCAATAATATAGTAAACGTCGCTAGTTGCATAGTCAAATGGCAGGGCCACTGGAGCACGCTACATGCATGGTTCTAACAGTAGTTTTGTAGCCTGCGCACAGACGTAATGTATTACATACTTTAATTTATTTTAACACATATCTCAAGTGTTTTACGGATTTTTATTGACTTCAAATCATTTGTCTGGGTTTCCTATGGCTTTGCCTGAACAACTTTATTCTGCTGTGGATGATCACTATAAATATCGCTAAATACGCTGAATTGCTCGTTTCATTTTCATTTCGTTTTCGCATTTCTATTATTCCTAGATATTTTTTAATTCATACGGCAAGCCCTGCACTCCTCAGCTATATTTTTTCCTGTTTTTGCTAGCATCAAACAAGTTCATGAACCCGTTCTTAAAAAGTCAAATGGGACATTGCCCTAAAGGTTTTGTTGAAATCGACATCATTAAATCGATTTTTCTTTCGATTTACTCAATAAATTTCAACATGACACTTGCCAAAAAAACACACTGTCAGATAAATGATGGTCGCTTTCAAATTCAGATGGCCAAGAATGAAAGAATGAACATCCTCTGCTCTGTAGCGGGATATCAGTTTCGTTATTGTATCATACTACTAAAGTGTTTGAGTGCGTAGGCGTCAATGATGCCTTGTGATGTACATAATAACTACACGCAAATTTTCGAAGAAATTGTTGGTCTGAGGGAAGGAAATAATAACTAAGAAGGCGTTTAACCCAACTAAGAAGGCATTTAAAAGAAATTTTCTTCGGCTGCTAATGCTGATCGTTTCAGGATTCTATTGGACGAAGACTTAAGGTGAGCAACATTATTCGCTTGTAGTTATAAACAGTATGCACCTAATGCACGTGTAATGTGTGTTAGCATAGAGATTATATGCCGTGTATTTACTTGTCGGGAACTGAGTGTTTAGACAAACGGAGGAGGACTTTATGACGAATGATCTCATCGGCACAATATATCAGCAAATTAAAGAATAAACATTGCGAAACAAAACGGCGTATCACCTGATATGGGTTTTTGTTTGCATGAAGCTAGTTTAATATGTTGTCCTCTACGTGCAAGGCGGGAAGCGTAGTTCGGACGATAAATATTAAAGCACAACGCAGTTCTTTTAATAAAGCCATAAAAGGCAATTTAGAACACTGATTCAAAAAGTATAGAAATATATTTGATAGTGACGTTTCGCGACTTTCATCTTAAGACGACTTTCATCTTAAGACATCTTGATAATTTACATGCGAAATTTGAATATGTATACTATTAATAAATTTACAAGGTATTAAATTACAAAGAATAAAAGCAAGGACAGCGTCACAGCGTAAGGACAAAACAATACATAAGAGGGTCCGGAAGCTTCTATGTGGGAGTGGAACTGGACATAACAGGGCGGGAAGGCTTTTTTTCCAGTGATGGGAGATTTCCCAGAATATCAGAACACTTGACAAAATCTCTCATCACTTGGAAACAGACTTTCAGCCAAGTTGTTTCAAGTCTTGTGACTTACGCTCAACTTTATATTGCTATATTAGCGTCAAGTGAGTCTTATGAGTGAGTGAAATCTTCGCTCTAGTGAAGTATTTTACGCGAGAAACATGTCCAAAATGTCGGAGTATGGTTATACACAATATTTTAAACGCAACATGCATTTAATAGATACTCAACAACAACAACATTTAGGAGTCCATGCTTGTCGTCTGTCCAAAAAAGTTCTCTTTCTTTTTTGCTTTCGATTTGGTAGATTTTTGTTTCTGATTCGACATCCCCACATGTGACACATGAGTGTGTACGGCGGGGATCAAATGACTGTGGACGTGGATAAATATTTAACGGAGAAATATTTTTGCGTTTTCAAATTCTTCCGGCATCGTGTAGGTTGTCCTAAGTTAAGACGAAACGTCACTATCAAATATGTTTTTATTATTTTATACTTTTTAAATTGTCGAAATGTCTTTTATGGCTTTACGAAAAAACACTATGTTGGGATTTCATATTTATTTTCGGAAGAAGCTAGTTTAATTTGTACCTTATAGCCTCATTGTTCGTCTTTTAGAACTGTTCCTATTATTTTTGTATTCCGTACGAAGGCAAACCCAAAGGTATATACTTTCTCCGTATACATTAAAAAAATGCATTTAATTCAGGGTGTATTGCCGAAATCTTTACAAAGAGGGAGGGAACTATTTTCCCTTTCCATTTAGTTCTAAATATTTCAAGGTTGTAAATGAGAATATTTCTGGCTATGTTCAGACAACAATGAGTGTTTTGAATACTGGAAGTAAAGACAAAATAACACCCAGGCTATTTCTCATTAGCGAAATGGCTTAATTTTACCATCATTAGGTTCTTGTATATACACGCATTACAGATGAAACGGGTAAAGTACCTGTGATTTCGGAGACAGTAGAATTTTGACTTGATCCTGATGATAGAATTGACTTTTTGTCTTCATTTTATCTTCATGAAAGAAGTCTATAATTTCTTGTCCAGAGTTTGTCAACTTGCTGATCATCTTTAAAACAGCAATTGTGTGTTCCTCACGACTTTGTTCACTACAATTATGTTCGATACGATTTGTAGATTGATGATGGCCAGTGCCATGCCCACGACTACCATAACTCATGAAGAAAGAAGATGGCTTGTTATTGGTTTGTGTCTGGCCAAAGTTCTTACACCTGCATTGAGAAATATCGTTGCAACCGAAATACCAAAATGGCATCAGGTTTTATGTCGACCACCGACTGAGATTGACAAACAAGTGTATGGTCGACATGAAAAACAGTTGAATCCATCAACTATGGACCTCAACTATAAAAATATTAACAACAATAATGTTAATAGATCACCACGATTATTTGACTATGCAGTTAAAGACCCACTGTCTTTAGCAAAGTTGTTTGTTCTTCCATTTATGTCCAAGTTTACTGGCTTTGACCAAACAATGGATATTTCTGCAATCTTATCAGTGATTTGTGAAGCTGCTCCATTTACAGCAGCTGCTGCTCATGCAAAGATAGTCCGGTCTGACATCAGAAACGAGTGGGCACATTGCAACTTTGCAAACTGGACTGAGGCAAGGTTTACTGCTGCTTTTTTTTGTATGGAAACTTTGCTGAAGAATGTGAATCTTTCACCTGAAGAGGAACAACAAATGTGTGATGATCTGAATAACTGGAAAGATAAAGGTAAAGTGTTAACTATAAAGAAAATCAAATTTTTCTTCTGTTGGAACCTTTTTTGAATGAACGCGTCCTCGGGCATGTCGTACTTAGTAAATCAATAGCAATTTTCTGGCAATCCAGCACGTTGTTCTGGGGTTAGGTCGTGCATGAAAGCATTTCTATAAAAACCTAAATATTTTCTGACGTCTTTTGTCAAAATTCATGATTATTACTCAGGTCGTTTTATATAGTAAGTAAAATCAAAGTTTTCATACAAAATAATGATCGACATTTTTCTCAGGGTTGAAGTGTTGTTTCCGTAGTCAACCTGTCGACATCCACACACCGAGTTTATTACTCGAAGAGAGTGTTCATGAACTTCGTTTATCTGTGCAGACATTGAATTTAGAAGAAAACCAGGTATGAAAATTACATTATTCGATGACTTGTAGTCTTGTATACTTGATCGATTGTTTCATCCCATACATATACTAGGTACAATTAAGACCACTTCGTCGTAAATCAATTAGACTAACTAAAATGCAGTTGTTTGGCTTATTATGCATCCTAATTTATAGCAGACGTAAAGTAGTTTAGTTGACGTAAATTATTTGCTGTATATCAGGTGTCTACAGTACTTTTGAATATCGACAAGATACAGTCAAAACTAAGAAAGGAGATTGACGAACTGCGTGGTCATGTCAAAAGAATTGAAATACAGGCAAATGATAATTATAGAGAGATAGAGCTTCTCAAGGGGGAACGATCTTTTGGTCAACTTGCAAGATATATTATCGAAAAGGAGGAGCTGCCTTATGTCTTCAGTGCACCGGGACGAAATCGTTATTTTGCTGGTCGGATTGAAGAAATCGAAGAGCTTAAACGCATTTTGAAAGTCGAACAAACCTCCAACGAAAAGAAAGTACGTGTCGCAGCAGTATGTGGATTGGGTGGAATTGGTAAAACAAGCCTTGTCACCGAGTATGCCCATCAGATGAAGGATTTCTACCAAGGAGGGGTTTATTGGTTCTCTGCTGAAGATGATAAGTTTCTTGACCAGTCGGTTAATGATATTGCATCAAAAATTGTCTCTGATAATTCATTCAACTCGAATTTGGCATTTGTCCTGCGAAAAATTAGCACAACTAATGACCCATGTCTTATTGTGCTCGACTGCTTGGATCAACTGGAACTTTCATCCAACATGATGGAATTTCTTTCCTTCCCTTCTCACACAAGTATCTGTGGACACTTTGTCGTGATTACCAGGCGAAATCCAGGGCGACTTCTCAATGAAGTCTCCGTTTTTGATGATCAGTGTTTTCTTCAATTAAAATGCTTTCAGCGTCAGGAGGCGACGCAATTTCTTTTTTCCAGATCTGGCATAACTTATGATGAAAACCTTGACAGTGATGCTGAATGTCTTTGTGAAGAGCTGGAAAGATTGCCACTTGCTTTGGAACAAGTCGGAGCTTCTATTAAAATGCTTAAATGTAGTTTTTCTTCATACCTGGAGCAATATAAAGACGAACGCTTGCGACTGCTTGAACAGCAAAAAGGGCGCCCCGTAGCACCGGGTAAAGAGTCACTGAAACGTATCGCTGTCCACACAACATGGCGTATCAACATGGAACATATAAAGAAAAGTTCGAACGGCGAGGAAGCAGTACGGTTTTTGAATGCTTGTGCGTTTTTCAATCGAAACGAAATCGAAGAAGAATTGATCAACGTTGGAAAGCCCGAAGTGGAAGGCGTCTCGTATCGTAGATGTGTGTCATCACCTTTGGGCAGCCGTCAGATTCTGAAATTATTGACCGACTTTTCACTTTTCAAGTATGTCGACGAAAACTCTAAGTCCGTCAGTACGCATCGCTTGGTCCAGGAACTTGTCAAAGACAGTCTTGATCTTGAGTCGAAAGCAAAAAGTATCACAGACGCTGTTCGGATGCTTTCTTTTGCATTCGCCAAATGTTCTTCACCCGGTCAATTTGTAATGGTGATGGAAAATAATCCCGAGGAGCAAAACATCGCCTTTCCAGATTTTCAACAACATTCTTCTCCATTCTACATGTGGTCTAAATTTTGTATGCATGGTCATAATCTGTGCAGAAGCATGGAGGATTTGTTGGAGACGCCCGTTTTTCTAGATCCACTGTGGTTTCCTGAAACAGCCAAGATATTTTACGAATGTGCCGTGCACTTGAGTGCTAATCGTAAACAGAAAGAAGCAAAACGTGCTTTGAACTTCGGATATCGCATATTAGACTGGCTGCCGTCAAAAGAATGTGAAAGTATAAAAAGTGATATTTCGAATAATTCCTTGTTCCCACTTCGTATTCCTTTACCCAAGTCCTTTCAAACAGAGATTAATCGATTTTGCTCACCTCCTTTAGCTGGTCATCCAGCTCTCCCTGAACAAACCGCTACAGCGGAAGATGAACTTGATGCTAAGTCGAGATCAAAGAAATCGAAGAAAGACGGGAGCAAAGGTTTTGAAGAAGTATGTGGCGGGATCCGGAATTCTTCTACCGGTGATTTGACATCAAAAATTCAATGGAAAAATTTATCATCCGAGGATGTGAATGATAAATTGACGCGTTCTTCAGATTGGTGGAAAGGTTTTGCTGAAGTAGCTTTGGCACTTAAAGACTCGGGTGAAAATATCTGTGCTGAAATAGCTGCTGCTTTAGCTTTTTATCACAATCCGGATATATTTTCCGGTGATTCTCCATTCAAAAATACTTTCTTGGACTTGCAGGATCGTATTTTTATTTGTAATTCTGTTGACAAACTTCGAGAAGCGATTTATTGGGATGAATTACAAGACGATGAGTTAAAGTTTTTGCTTCTGGGGTCACCGGAGTATATCCTAAATGTTCCAACATTCGCTCAACCCTGGAACAACTGCGTCCTTGTTGGAACAAGAAAAAGATGTTCAGTCACCTTGGAGTTAGATGGAAGCATTGACGTGTTGAAATGCATGCTGGTAAATCTGTCATTCGTTTTTTATGAAGGTCGATTGAATTGTTTGCCTGAGTCCTTTGTTAAATTACTGGGCTGTAAATTCACTTCTAATGGTGAAGACACGGACGCCGTAACAACTAGTGGTGATTTGAATGCAGAACAATGCTGTTTCGAATACAGTAAAGGCTGTGGTTTGTCATGTCTTGAGCAAGGCAGGGTTGTCGTGGCAGACAGTTTCTTTCGTGGCAACGGAAAGCACGGGTTATTAGTCCAAAGTCAAAACAGGTCAAAATTGTGTGTCGTGAGGAAGTGTGATATTCACCACAATTTGCAAAATGGGATTGACGTCTCTGATGCCAAAATTTGCACAAATATGTATAAAAATAATATTTATTGCAATGGTCATAGTGGAGTGCGTATACACCGATGTGATGCCGAAATCAAGGAAAACGATATTTTTGTCAACGATACGTGGGGAGTTTTCCAGTCAGGAGGAAACTCGATAGATTGCGATATATCAGTGAATATTTCAATGAATAGAATTTTTCGCAATAACTGTGGTGGAATTCGCTTGGGATATAAGCAGAAGAAAGGGAAAACGGTTGTGGAGAAGAATGAAATTTATGATAACAACGGTCCTGGATATGTGAACGATGTAAACAATTCTCAATACCAAGATAACAATCTCTCCAATAACATGGAAAGTGAAAACGTCGGTGAGCTAGATTTTTCTGTTCCATTTTGTTCAAATTGTCATAAAAGAACAGTCAGAAATCTGAACAGTTGTGGCAAGTGCTTTACAGCTGCGTATTGCAACGAAACTTGTCAGAAGAACCATTTCTCAAAGCATAAGACAATATGCGAAGATTTACGTGAGAAATCAAGTTATTTGATAACTTCAATGGAACCACCAAAAACCGACATATCAATGCTTAGAGGACGAGAGTTTGGCCCTCCGCCACAAGATGAAACAAGGTTTATAGTTCAAGTGTTTAATATACTCACGGGAGACAAAGTGGAGAATACCATTATCCTGAATGATCGTTCACTTGAACGTCCACTACAATTCAATTCCATCGCCATTACTGAGCTTATTAGAGAGTTTGGGGTTTTACGCGAGCGAAAAAATTCAGAAAAAGATCTTTTTCTTTATTGCATCAACGAGAGTGACGATCAACTTCGACTAATCACAAATCAATTCGCTGAATGAATTCACAAGGTCAGGTGGCAACGTGACTGAAGAAAATTATAAGCTTTGAGTGCGTCTGGCGTAACTATTGGGATTGAAGACTACTACAAATGTTTTTTTCACTCAGAGCAACTTGGCTTGCAAAATGGCATGAAAAAATATTTTATTCAAAATAAAAGAGAAATATTTTTGGCATAAGACAACCTTAACATCATGGTTCCATCTTAAAACACAAAAAAGAAAAAGCTAAAAAGAAAAGGCTTTATATTTTCCCAGAGCCATACAGCATGCATGCAATTATTATAACAAAGGTAAAAAGTAGTTTTGAAAATAAGCTTTTTCCTGTTCCCTCAGAATACTTTTATGATAGTTTCTCTTCTTGCATTCATTAACAAGGTAAACCATTAATGTTCTATGTGTCTTGAGATACGACAGAGAATGATATATAATAGGTATCCATTAATGTCGTTTGGTATCACTCGCCATGCAGAATTATCAAGGCCCACACACCAACCCTATATTTTGTATAATTAGGAGCCATATCTCTGTGACTATAGAACTCTCTGCAAATAATTTAGCCCTGACCACCTTAACAATAATGATTATGCTACAATGTTTGCTACTATGCCGTAATTCTCAATACTTAGACTTTAAATTCGGCAAGCTAAAAGATTTATAAATACTCAACAAAATATCTCTTGCACAAAAGATTTGAAGCTTGCACACGGCAAAAACAAATCATCTGAAAATGTCTCAAAATGGCCATTTTACGGTGGCAGATGCATACGAAGAGCCTTCAAAAGTTTCCAAAACCGATATTGGAAGAAAAATTGAACTTGTTTTCAACTTATTTGATAGTATTTTCTTTGATAGCAGTTTCTGAATACTAGGATTCAAATGTGAGCAACTGATGAGATATTTGACTTCCAACACCAATTTCTGCGGTGTCGTCCATATCCTGTGTAACCACTTTGACACTGGCAGTTGAATGAACCTGGAGTGTTGGTACAATTTGCATCTTTGTCACATATTTCTGTCGTTCCTTTCCCCCATTCATCAACATCTAGAATACATCATTTAATTTTAATAGTTGATACTAAAGGAATACCAAATGATTTTCCGTGCAGGATTGCGTGATCCATGCACGCGGGATGTTGCGAGACTTTCGGAAAGCGTGAAAATACACGAGCCGTAGGCGAGTGTATTTTCACGCTTTCCGAAAGTCGAGCAACATCCCAAGTGCATGGATCACGCAATCCTGCACGGAAAATCATTTGGTAATTGTTTTATAAAATAACTGTAGTGAAACAACGGTTAACTTTATTAAAATTATATTTCGCGTGCAGGATTGTCTAAAACGCGTGCAGGATTGTCTGATCCTGCACGGCTATTGACCAATCACATTGCGTGTTTCACTATAGTTATTATATAAAGTAAGTTCCAATATAACCAAAGAGTAGCGTGGCAGCGTCTTCAAACAACTTAGCATCAAATGTGGTATAACAACTGCCTAAATAGACAAACACTTCTCGACGTTTCGACCTGAGAGCCTTCGTCATACTAACTCTCCTGACGAAAGCCCTCAGGTCAAAACGTCGAGAAGTGTTTTGTCTATTTAGGCAGTTTTTATACCACATTTGATGCTAGTTAATACAGTATATTTGAGTTCTCGGTGATAAAAACGTTTATCAGCATGACAAAATTACTGCATGCTGATTGGCTGAGAGTTGTTTCATTACTTGTACTGTAGTACAATAGACTCTTCCTGTAATTACGTCGAAACTTTACCGTTTCTAGTTTAGAACCACCTTAAATGAAGTCTTACTTTGACGAGCTATTGTGGAAAGGTGCAAAACATCCTTCTTCAACGCATGCTATTCCGCCGAAATGTTAAATAAACGACCGAAAAACTTATCCTTAAACATAAATAATATTCCTCAATTTAAATGGGAGGATATTGTAGACAAAGAGGAAATTGGATGTGGCAGTTTTGGTGTGATTTAAGGTGATATAAGGACACGTAATGTAGTTAGCTACAACAATAATTCTATGACTTTGAGCAAGAGGCATTATAGCTATAGCTATAATTTTGTTATTGTGTATTCTTTCTTTTATACTAATACTGTGGTATAAAAAATTAGTATAGACTTATGAGCGATCCTTCATTTATGAATATATGTATAATTTACGTTGACTCCGTGTTTTCCAAACATTTATACTCCGTGTTTTCCATGTTTTTGGCAGACTACGTGTTTTTCAATATTATTACGTCAGACTCCGTAATTTTGACACCGGGACTCCGGCTCCGAAACTCCCGCTCCGGAACTCCGACTCCGTGTTATCCATGTTGTGATGTGGCAACGTTGAATCAAAGCTAGATATTTATTTCACCCGCTCCTCGTTTTGCAAAATAAAGTCATCCTATTGGCTGAACACTCCCGGCCTGACAGCTCAACATTGCTTCTGATTGGACGAGCATAGTAATTTGAATAATATGATTAATTCTTTCCTTTCATTTCTGATGTTCAGGCTCAGGAGAAGAGATTAATCATATTATTTCATATTATTTAAATTACTATGAACGTCCAATCAGAAGCGTTGTTGAGCTGTCAGGTCGGGAGTGTTCATCCAATAGGATGACTTTATTTTGCAGACACGAGGAGCGGGTGAAATGAATATGTGCTTTTGATTCCCGTTTGAGACATCATTTCAACGCTGGTCTTCGAAGAATAAAAGTGAGTCTCCTCCATGCCAAGAAAATTTCAACAGAAATTGCTATCAGATTGCTATCGTCTTCAGCAGAAGAGAAGTTTAATAGAAGTTTACTATCTCTGACAGACTGTCGTTGGTGTAATACCAGGTAATATGCCTTTCCCTTTGCGTGTTTTATCTGCTTGTTTCATCGTGAGCTTTTGGGCTTGAGGTTCCACGTGTCTTTAGTTCACGTCTTGTAATGCCTCTCTCGTGTTTTGTTCAGCTTCAAATGCATACTTGTATAGCACTAACGTAGCTTTTATTCTTTTCATGCAGAATTTTGACGTATTAAAGCGAAGTTACACGATGAAATTTGTGAACAAGAGATTGACGACCGATGAATTGTGGCTGAACTGGCTCAAGATAACTCGCCTTTGAAGAGAAAGCAAGTCTAGGCTTTTTCTGGGGAATATTGATGATATGAGAAAGGTAATATACGTCAAATCTTACCGTTGAGCCGCTAACCTTCCCTCTAACCACACGCAAATTACGTTTGAATTGAGTTCTAAAGACCTAAGCAGTGAACTAATGGTGCATGCCTTTTATTCTTCCAGGTGGAGTTTGAGAGCTTAAAACCAAACTGAATGAAGTGAAGTGGGCAAAAAGTCCGTTACCGTAGCTGGAATTGCCCGAGACGACTCGCATTTGACTCAAGATAACTCGCCTTTGAAGAGAAAGCACGTCTACGCATTTTCTTGGGACTTGTTGATGATATGAGAAAGGTAATATACGCTAAATCGTATGTGAGCCGCTAACCTTTGCTCCAATCGCAAGCAATTACCTTTGAATTGAGTTATAAAGACCAAACCAGTAAACTAACATTGCCTTTTGTTCTTCCAGGTGGAGTTTAAAAGCTAAAACCAAACCGAATATAGAAATGAGCTGGGAAAGAAAACCCATAGCTGAAATTCCCCGAGATGACTCGCATTTAAAGAGACGGCAAGTCCAAAGCTGCTCTTAAACACTTGTTGCTGAAATGAACAGGTAATTTTGGGTCTATTTTATTCAAAATAGGATGGGAAAACTTGAAACGCTTGATCAGGCATCATGCGTTCTCTCAACTGAATAATCACACCGCAAGTTTTCTCCCGATATTTAAGCTCCCTTCATCGAAGATAAATCTTTAAAATCACTGTCTATAACAAGCATTCTTTTGGTTTTATTGCAGGTAGCGATTTAGCGGGTCAAGCTATTTGAAACAACGACAAAACCTGTTCACAATAAAACGTGAGTATTAAGCAATTAAACATTTTAGATAAACCGAACAATGGGGAGTTTATGCATGATTCAGGTCAAGAACGACAACGGCCGCATGATAATTTAATATGAATAATGGCAAGGAAATACTTGAAATCCCAGAGAGGTTTTATAGATGTTGTTTTGGGTCTGTTTACAATCCCGATTTTACGCGTGTTTCTTCTCGATAAAAATGTAGTTTGCTTATTTCTTTAATCTTATTTCAGGTTGATGGGCTCTGTTGAGCTATTACCGACAAGCCAAATCGACGGTAAATCTACGTCTAAAGTATGCAATCTCGACGGCAAATCTACGCCTAATGTAAGCCAACTCTACGGCAAATCTACGCCTAATGTAGGCAACCTCGACGGCACTCTACGCCTAATGTAGGCAACCTCGACGGCAAATCTACGCCTAATTTAGGCAACCTCGACGGCAAATCTACGCCTAATGTAAGCCAACTCTACGGCAAATCTACGCCTAATGTAGGCAATCTCGACGGCACTCTACGCCTAATGTAGGCAACCTCGACGGCAAATCTACGCCTAATGTAGGCAACTTCGACGGCAAATCTACGCCTAATGTAGGCAACCTCGACGGCAAATCTACGCCTAAAGTAGGCAACCTCGACGGCAAATCTACGCCTAATGTAGGCAACCTCGACGGCACTCTACGCCTAATGTAGGCAACCTCGACGGCACTCTACGCCTAATGTAGGCAACCTCGACGGCACTCTACGCCTAATGTAGGCAACCTCGACGGCAAATCTACGCCTAATGTAGGCAACCTCGACGGCACTCTACGCCTAATGTAGGCAACCTCGACGGCACTCTACGCCTAATGTAGGCAACCTCGACGGCACTCTACGCCTAATGTAGGCAACCTCGACGGCACTCTACGCCTAATGTAGGCAACTTCGACGGCACTCTACGCCTAATGTAGGCAACCTCGACGGCAAATCTACGCCTAATGTAGGCCAACTCGACGCCTAATATACGCCAAAACTACGCCAAATCGACGCCAAAAAGCAACGTTCAGCGATGCCCGGGCATCGTTACAGGTTAGAGTAGCCTGGTGGTCAAAAAATGTGCATGCAGGGGTTAGTCTGTGCATGATTAACTTAACGAAGTTAACTAATTTAGTTAACGAACTT